GGTGATTTATCTTTGGTTCTGGTTGGGCACCATGGTGTAGTCTCTGTTTGATTTCTTTGGTTGTCTTGAGTGCCTCGGTGGTCCACATTGTCAGTATTTTTGAATGCATTGGTGTGGATATTTTTAAGCTGAAGCCCCAAAACTGAGCTAGTAATCAGGCCCTTTGGGAGGGCAGGCACTGGGTATAGTGGTCTTGCTTTGTGGTCATGGAGGCAGCATTGCCAGGGGCACTTGCCAGGCAGTCTAGTCCTTGGTTTTTAGGGGCATACATGGTGCATGGAAGTTCCAGTGGTCAAAGGGATGAAATTGCCAGTATGCTGGGTGCCATGCAGCCAGCTCTGAGGCCCTGGAGAGAACGAAGTTGGCTCTCCTGGGCTTGGAGGCTATATCCTGAATGTGCTAGACTGCCTTTTGCCTGGAGTACAGAGTGCTGCATAAGCTTGGGGGGCCAGGATTATGACTGTTCCACTGGGTCGAAGTGGGGTCATGTTGTTGCAGCCTTTCCTGCAGACATGGCGGGATGGCGGCTAGGCCCAAGGGTTGTGGGGATGCAGGGGCTACTGGGTACCAGAACTTGGTACACAGTGGTGGGGACTCTGTTTTCAAAATGGTCTTATGCCATAGCAGCTGTGTGTGAGGGAGAGTGAGGGATCCAGCATGGGTTTCCTCTCTAGAACAGTACAACCTCATGGACTCCCAGGCATCTCCTTATACTGGGCTCGGGGGCTGTGAGAACCGTCGGGGCTCTTCTGTGCCTGGGAATCCAGGTGCTTGTGGTGGTCACGTGAACTTCTGGGGGTCCTTTGCTCTCTTGCCACCTTTTCCCAATGATATGGATTCCCTGTTTTCCCTGAGCCCACCCAGCCAGGTGTTTTACATCGCTCTGTTCTGCTACCCTAATGCGGTCATCTACTTGTGATTTTTGTTCTTTGTGGACCAGGTCGGCATGGAACCCCTCTTTTCAGTCTCCTTGATTGAAAATTTTTCTTTGAAATCTCATTTATAATAATAAACTGTTGGTACTATTAAGAAACCTCTATTTTTTTCATATTCATACATTGTTATTTTATTCCCCAAATGATGCCTTAGTAAGACTCAATTTATATGAAAAAAATCATAACATAATAAATAAAAATATACAAATTTGCAGTACATGTTTTTATAAACAAAAATAGGACTGAAATTGCATTAAATTTTTAATAGGTCAAATTCTTCAGCATGAAATTGTGAGTAATTCATTATCATCCCACTTTTTTTCCTATAGGAAATATCTGAAGTTTAAATAAAGTGTATAAAAATAAATAAAAAAATCAAAAGTCTGCTGTGATTGTATTAAGATAGAAACATACTCAGTACTTTTGAAAGGAAATAAAATTATTCATTTGATTAAAAGTGCTTAATATTATCATATTTGCTTTTAGAAATGTGCCCATAAAAAATGCTGTAATCCTAAACTTTGCACTCTAAAGAAAATGCAGAGTGTGGCTCTGGGCCATGCTGTAATGTAAACACTTGCAAGGTAAGATTTCAAAATATTACATTATTTTTGTAAATAAATGTTTGTTGTCTTTTTCATTTTCATCTTTCAAATATTTTTCTTTATATATTATCTGTGGTCAGCTTTTAGTTTGGGGCCTACTTCCTAATAGCATATGAACATTTATTTTATATCTCAAATATTTTGTAGAGCATGGTTTCAGAGGATATCTGTATCGTTACAGCCCAGCCAGGTGCCCTGCCCACCGCCCAGGTAAAGGCCAGTATACTGAGACAGCAGGGATTGCAGTGGAGAAAGAGTGTTATTTTGCAATGCGCCCAGCGAGAAGATGGGAGTGATTTCTCAAATCCGTGTCCTTGAGAATTTGAGGGCTAAGATTTTTTAGAGGTGGTTTGGCAAACAAAAGGCTAGAGAATTGTGTCTGCTGATTGGCTAAGGATGAACTTGTAGCTTTGGGAAGCGGAAATCACCTTCTCAGTTGGGACATTTCCTAGATAGCGGTCTCCAGGTTTGTGGGATCCATTCTCAGCCTGTCCACGGGTCCCTGCACGGTGGTGGGGACCCTGTTCTCAAAATGGTGTTATGCCCTAGCAGCTGTGTGTGAGGGAGAGTGAGGGATCCAGCATGGGTTTCCTCTCTAGAGCAGTGCGACCTCCTGGACTCCAGGCATCTCCCTAAACTGGGCTCGGGGGCTGTGAGAACCGTGGGGCTCTTCTGTGCCTGGGAATCCAGGTGCTTGTGGTGGTCACCTGAACTTCTGGGGGTCCATTTGCTATCTTGCTTACCTTTCCATGGTCTGACTGACATCAGTGTGTCCCCTCAAGTGCAGAGTCTAAAAAATACCTCAAAGACCAGTCTCAGGCCTTACAATAACAATGCCATCTATAGAAGCAGTTGGGGATGTCACACATCATGCACCCATCAGGAAGAAGACATGCCATTATTCACTGAGCTGTTGCAGCAGTGAGGAGCTTTGGGGACAATGGTGGGTTAACTTCTGGATCTATCTATACTTTTACAGAAATCATGGATTACCTCATGGATTTTCATTATTTTAATATAGGAAGTTTCATTGTTCCCTAAAGGTTTAGGTATTAAACCTATATTCTATTATTTATACTATTGTATTTGTTTTCAAGTTGATTACCTATTGTGTTGGTAAGTAACAGAAATCTAATTCAAATATAGTTGATTTCAAGATTCATGGGATATCCTTAGGTCTCTTTCAACCTTCTTATCTCTGCTTTTCACTGTGTGGTTTTAATCACTTTTGGAGACCCATCTGTTTTTTACGTTCAATAGCAATTCCAAATTATTTGGGTGGTATGAATTACTTTTGTAATGACAGAATGTAGCTATTTAAGGTTTAAATAACTTATAAAATATTATAAAACAAGAAAACCACACACATTTGGCATGCAATGTTTAGATAAAGAGACAAAACTATTTAAAATTCTCATTTTGAATATATTATAAGAAGGGATCAATATTCAGCAATATATAGCATGTCAAATACTGATGTGTAGCTTTGACAAGGTGCTCTTTTCTACTCTATGGACTAATAATTAAAGCCAGTGATCGTTTGTTTTCAAGTTGCAGGAATGTAAAGGCCACTGTAGGGTTAGTACTTCATAGCAGTAGACCTGCTGCATTTCCCTTAACCAGAGCTCTGGTTTTGGCTTTTGTCTCTAAACACTGGGATTGAGTATTAAGAATTTTCTAAACAATCCACTGCCCTTTGTCTACATCCTAAAGGGTAGTTTGTTAAAACAGAGATAATTGCTTTGTTTAGTATAATTAAAAATCACAGAACAAGTTGCCAGGGAGAGCCTAAGAGATCATAGCTAAATTGTACTATGTTAGTTCACATTAATTTTCTCATGAATTATGGCATAGAATTTGACTTTTGTTGTCATTCAAAGACTCACAAGTGTCTTATACTCTGCTCTCATTTTTATTTACCGTGAGTGTAAAAGGTTCCAATTTTCTTTTTGGTCTACTTTCAAATCAACCAATTTCTACCAAAGCTTGTCTAAAATTTAGAGATTTGATTCAATTATTTTTCTTATACATATTTAGCTTCGGTAGGCACAACTCCAAGTGCAAGTACACAAAACACAGTTTAATCAGCTGTTTTGCTAACCCTTAAAGTGATTAACATGTTTCTAACCATTACTTAGATATTCCCATCGGTAATTTGGAAAAAAAACAAACAAACAAAAACTTCAATTTGAATGACATAATACCAAGTGTGTATCCATCAGTTGTAACTTGATGATGAGCAGCCAAGCAAAGAAAAGCAAACACAGACTTAAGAAGCTTAAGGTGAAGATTAATCTGGCTTCATGTTTAGTTACATCTTTGTTTCAAAGAGTCTCTACAGAATTTCTATTGTATGTATTTCTTAGATATCTTTGCTTTTTAGCTGATGATTCTCAATATGTGATATATACAAGTCATCGTGGCTCCTTAGCTTTGTAGTACATAGTGTACAATATTTCAGAAGAGTAGAGAGATTCATTTTTAACACCTACCTTCATTCTTTGTAGTGGAGGAAAATTTTACTGAGAGTGAAATAGATACATATTTGATTTTCTTTGTCTCACAGATATATGATAAAGGACATTTATGTAGGGAAAAAAGAGATCTGTGTGATTTACAAGAATATTGCAATGGAACATCTGAGTTTTGTGTAAATGATCGCCATGCTGCTGATTTGGAAGAGTGTAGTGAAAACAGCGCCTATTGCTATAAAGGAATATGCCAAGATGCAGATATACAGTGTTCAAACTTATTTGGAAAATGTAATAGTTTTACCTTTTCTCTGGGCTTCATTTTCAAGTTGTAGTTATTCTAAAGTCAGTAATCCACCCTATAGCCATACTAAAAAATGTCATCTTTTACATTCACATTTGGAAAAAAATTGCAAACCAAAGCAGCTTTGAATGTTGTCAAAAGGTAACTTGGGTCTAATAAGTAAAAGATACAAATAATAGGACATCAGAGAAATCACAGGTGTTTGATGGAAAGAGAATAGATTATTTGAATAATGGATAACAGAGTAAATTACTTTTTTTTTTTTACTTTTTTATTTATCAATAATATCTGCACGATAATACAATTTTTTTCTGTTTTCAAGTGGGTAGTTTGTAGTGTTTCTTTTTTTGTGTGTCAGGTAGATGACATCAAAAATTTTTAGCTGATGACATTGACTTGGCATTGTTGTCTGGATGTCTCTATACTGATTTGCCACACTTTTTAAAGCTTTTCTAATATTTTTTACTATTAATAATTGGAAATCCTTATGTTTTCAGTTGCTAAAGGAGGTCCTCGACTGTGTATAGAAGAAGTGAATTTTCAAAATGACAAATTTGGAAACTGTGGTGGACGTTGTAGTTTCAGGTGGGTATTTAGGAAATTATACCTTTCCTGAATGCATGTGTATGGGTTGTGTATGTACTACAGAGCACACTCATTACAAATGGGAGATAGCCCCATTATATACAGATGGATTTATATCTTGTCGTCCATAAGACAGTATACGTTCTGAATAGCTTTAGTGTTTATTATCTGAGTGGTATTTTGAATTATCCTCATATTTTGAATTGTTGTTTACCTAACACATTGTGTGCCTAGTGAAAAATGGATAATTTTTTGTACCTCATCGTTCCAGACATGTCTTTTGTGGAAAAATGGTTTGTCACTGGTCACATTCACAGATAGTACCAATCATTGACCATGATGTGCAATATACTTATATTGAAGGCTTTGTATGTTTGTCTGCACATTTAAGAAATTCTTCAAGAAGTGATGAGACCTATATGAAATCTGGTACTTTTTGTGGTCCATACAAGGTAAATATAATTTTTATGTGAAACTATGTGTGGTGGATTTGTATGTGAGTGTCTGGAGACAGACAGACAGACAGACAGAGAGAGAGAGAGAGAGAGAGAGAGAGAGAGAGAGAGAGAGATCTTACCTTCTTTTAGCTATAAATTTTGGTTACTCCAGCATGATATTAAAATACAAAGATCACAATTTCTGTTGGTTAAAGGAACTCTTGCTTTACTATTTATTAGTTTTATTAGAATTTTTACTATAGGTATTTAAACTTGTTTTTCACCACTAGAGAATCTAAGCCTCCTTGTTAGACCAGGGTCTGGTCTTCAAATAATTTGTGTGGACCAGGAACTAAAAGAATAAAATAATACACCGAAAAATGTCAGAACAACCTGAATAATAAGAACGTTTAATATAACCAGAAAAAGAGCCAAGTATTTAGTTTCATAGCATTACTGCCCCGCTGGGCCCCTGGCCCAGTGAAAGCCAACACACTGGGACAGCAGGGGCTGCAGTGGAGAGTAGTATTTTGCAAGGCGCCAGGCAAGGAGATGGAGTAATTTCTGAAATTCATTTCTCCAAGAATTTGAGAGAAAGAGTTTTCAAGTTTTTAGCTTGATCAGCAAAGGGCAAGGGAATTTGGTCTGCTGATTGATAGGGGATGATCTCACAGGGTTGGGACGCACAGAAATTATCTTCTCAGTCTGAAGGGTTCCTGTGTAGAGGGTTTCAGGGCTGTTGGCTCCGTTCTCATGCCTGTCTACAGGTCTGGTTGGCATCTTTAGGGTCTCCAGGATGCAGAGTCTGAAAAAACACCTCAAAGACCAGTCTTAAGATTTACAATAGCAATGTTATCTATAGAATCTGAAGTCTTGGGGCATTTTCAACAGCAATGTTATCTATAGAATCTCAAGTCTTGGGATTTCTGACAGCAGTGTTATCTATAGACGTGTGGTGGGAGTCACAAGTCTTGTGCCTGTCAGGGAGGATAGTGCCATTAAGTGTAACCAATGACAGAGCAAGGAAGTTAGGGCACAATGGCTGGTTAACTCTTGGCTATATACTATATTTTTATAAAAATCAGACTTTGATAACTATTTATACCTTGTGGCTCTACACTATTTTAATATGGACAGTTAGACCAGTAGTTGACAAAGAAGACTAATTGGTTATAATTAAAATGACTCATTTATTTGCTGATTAACCTACTCCGTTAATACTTTCTCCAAAAGCACAAAGCATGGAAAGTCTTTTCCCCTCCTCTAATACCTTATCCTTTGTGTCTTATCCATTTAACTGTTCTTGAGTTACATCCTTTATAATAAACTGGTAAACATAAGTAAAGTGCTTCCCTGAGTTCTATAAGCCCTTTTCACAATTTATTGCCTTGTGGAGGGAGTGATGGGAACCCCCAATTCATACCTGGTCCGTCAGACGTCTGGCTTACCTGTGACTTGCTATTGGCATCTGTGGTGTGGATAGTCGTTAGAGTCTGAGCTTTTTAACTTGTGGGATGTGGTGTGACTTAGTCAGTTTTTGTTTTGCTATGAAGGACTACCTGAGGCAGGGTAACTTGAAAAGAGGTTTATGTGGCTCATGTTTCTTCAAACTGCACAAAAAACATGACACCAGCATCTGCTTCTGGAGAGGGCCTCATGCCCCCTTCATTGATGGGAGAAGATGAAGAGGAGCTGGTCTGTGCAGAGATCCCATGGCAAGAGAGAGAAAGTAAGAAAGAGGCAGGGAGGGAGGTACCGGGCTCCTTTTTAAACAAGCAATCCAAGTGGGAACTAGCAGAGTGTGAAGAGAACACACTCATTAACCAAGGGCAGCACCAAACCAATCATGAGAGATCCACCCCCATGGCCAATCAGACCTACTTCCTCCAACTTTGGGGATCAAATTTCAACATGAGGTTTGGGTGATTAAATATTCAAAGTATAGCATGCTGCTACCTCCATGCAGATAGATAGTGTTAGAATTGAATTTATTTTTTGGATGCCAAGTTGATATTAGAGAATTAATTGATGTCAGAGAAAACATCCACTGATTGTGCATATATGCTAACACACATAAACTTGTGTGTTAGCATATATGTGTGTATGCAAAGAAAAATTTTATAAAACAGTACATATGACTAAGGAATATGAAAACTTGTCACCTAATTTGTGATTAAATAAACACAAAGTAAATTAATATCCAGATATTGCCTTTGTCTTGTCAATTTGGCATTAAAAATGATATATGATGTTGAGAAGTGTATCTTATTAATATCATCCCCAACCAAGTAAAATTAAGCATATACTTTCTGGAAGATGATTTAGAAATGTGTAGGGAGTCAAATATAGTATTATATATTTTTATCTGTTTATAATATAATAATATTAAATTGATTTTCAGATATTAATATATACATTAGCATAGAACAATTATGAGTTATAGTAGAGAAAAAAATCAAGGCACAGTAAATGCCAATTTACTATGGTTGATCAGATGAATTATAGTATATCCAATATGGAATACAATATTTCTCTTTAAAATGACATTTGCAAAGACTTTTTAATGAGTTGGAAGCATTTCCAGCCTCTGAGTGGAGGTTTCTCCAAGTTCTTGATGTTAGTTGGAAAAATAATTTCAGGATGCACATCCTAAGCCAAGCAAGTGACATATTTTATTGAAAGTCAAAGTACACTCTCAGAGAAGAGAGTGCACATGGTCCAAAAGAGCAGCTGTACAGAGAGGAGGTGGCTTTAGATCTTTTGTGGTCATATTGATTAAGTGGAGGAATATTCAAGGCCAAGGGGTTGGCTTTTACTAAGAATTTGTGTAGTAATTCCAAGAATTGGATTCCCTCCCACTTTTATATTGCGCATGGTTGTTTTGGAACTGCTGTATTGATTTCAAGTGTGCAGAAATCTTAAAACCACAGTGTAAATGATACTGTAAGTAGCCAAAGTTCACGTAAGGTGGCAGAGGTAGCTGACAAGCCAATCAAAACCGGTTCTTGTCTAAGGTTATCAGCCCGTCTAGTTGGCTTCTGCTTAAGAGTTGTTTACTTTAATACCTGTACCTGATCCTCAAGCCCCTGCATGTGGTCTCAGCCCTGTCTCTTAGTCTCCTACTGTAACAGAAGTATATTTGTAATATTATGTTAAGTGTAAAAACAGAGCACAACTTGCCAAACATGCATTTCTACTCTTTGGATTGTATGGATACGTGGAAATTCTATGGGTTGCAATTTCTACTAAAGCATAGATCATATCCTTGGGTCAAGTTGTCTTGCTGAAACTCCCCAACAAAAGATTGCAGCAACTCTGTGGTTTTAAGGCTCAATCATTATTGATTTATGAAAAGTAAAAATTAAAGCTTTTCAGAAGAAGCCCTGGGATCAAGTCATGCAGCATAAATAGCATTCGAGAGTATTTAAAACCTGGGAAGATCTAATAAAACACATGCAAGATAGCTTTCACACTGACAACTGTGAAACATTAGAGAATCAAAAAGGCTTATGTAAATGAAGGAATGAACTCTACTCATTAATTGGAGACTCAATATTGTAAATATGTCAGTGTTCTCAAATTTAATTTGTGAACATGTTGTCAAATTTAAATTCTCAGGAGGTTTTAAATTTCTTTTTATATCGGGAGGATGCTGGCATGCAGATTTTAAAAAATTCATAAGGGACCAGGTGCAGTGGTTCATACCTCTAATCAATCCGAGCACTTTGGGAGGCTGAGGTGGGACGATCCCTTGAGCCAAGGAGTTCAAGGTTATACTGACCTATAATCCAACCACTGTTCTCCAGCCTCAGCAACAGAACAAGACTCTCTCTCTAAATATATATAATATTTATTATATATTATTATATTAGTATATATATTATAGTATATATATACTAATATATATACTTGACCAGTATATATATAGTATATATATTAGTATTATATATTATATAATAATATATAATAAATATTATATATATTTAGAGATATATTAGTTCATATAATAATATAATTGGCCATTTTGTATTTTTCCTTTTCATACAAAATGGCCAATGCAATTTCAAAGAAGAAAATGGAAGCTGGAAATTCACTCCACTAAATATCAAGGACTACTGTAAAATAAAAGAATTTAAGAAAGTGCACCATTAGTACAAGGAGCAGTTAACTGACCTATAGACTAAAATACAAAATATTATTTCAGAAGAATTGCAGATCATAATGCTTTAATAAATATTTTCAAAGAAAACTTAAGTGAAGTAAGTGATATGCTCAAAGATTTTTTTTAAATAGACATACAATGAGTTGCAAGGAAAATATTAGTAAATGCATTATATTATGATTACAAACCAGCAAATAAAGAGTTGAGGTTCCAGACAAATGGACTAGGCATACTTTTTCTTATTCCTTTCATGATATGCAACTAAAAATCCCTGAACATTATGTAAAAAAAAAAAAAAAACCTGAGAAGACTGAAAAGTAAAGAGAAAAAGGCAAACCAGTTGGGGACTTTGAAACACCAAAAACAACACAGCAGTGAGTTATTTTTTTTGTTTTGCCTCCTATGTCCCAAACTGGGTGTCAGAGAAGCCAGCAATTGAGAAAAGCCAAGTGGCACAGACAAAAAGAAATCCTCAAGGAAATCCCTCCTTCTCTAGGCAAAGGAAGAGTCTAGCAATATAGTACATGTTTAAACTATAACTGCTCTACTTCTACCAAATTACACAGAAAAAATTTGCCTCACATCCAATCCTGCCAGGGTGCCATTAGCAGAAACCTAGTGGAGGGCCTGTCCTTCCCTCACCTGAGCAGTATTTGGGAGCCCCTCCCACCCCAGGTACTAATGGAAACTGTACTTCCAATTATACTTGGCAATAATGAGGCAGTGTCCCTTGATTTCCTGCCAGAGTTTTAACAGAGGAGTACTGTTAAAAGAAAGGTTTCACAAGATTCAGAGTCTCATAACACAATAATCAAAATGTCTAGGTTTCAATCAGAGTCACTCTTTCTATCAAGAACCCCCAAAATAGCAACTTTAATGAGAAAGGACAACTAACAAATATCAATACTGAGATGGCACAGATGTCAAAATTATCCTTCAAGAATTTAAAACAGTCATCGTTAACATGTTTCAATGAGCAGTCACACATGCTTGAAACTGATAAAGCAATAGGAAGTTTCAGCAGCAAAGAAATAGAAGATATAGAGAACCAATCAGAAAATTTAAAAGTAAAAATTACAGCAATCAAAATGTAGTACTCAATAATGGGCTCAGGAGAAGAATTAAGAACAGACAACAGAATCAGTGAAGCAGCAGTTATGAATAGACTATAAGAAACAAATTTCAGCAACAGTGACAATATAGAAAAAATAAACCTTTAGTGACATGGGATTATAACAAAAAGATATGATGTTTATGAAATTTTCATCCTGGAGGAATAGGAGAAAAAGTTTAAGAATGAGAAATTATTTGAAAAGTAATATTGTGGATATTTTCCAAATTTGGCAAAAAGGCAAAGCCTACTACGGATTTGAGAAGCCAAGCAAAACCTATATAGGATGAACCCATTGAAATTCACAGTGGGATGTACCATAATGACATTTCTAAAAATTAAGGACAAAGGAAAGGAATCTTTGAAGTAATGAGTCTGAAAAAGTATCTTATGTACAAGAAAAACACTTTTACACTGGCAATTGAAATAAAACCAGATCAACCTAAATAATAAGTGATATTCTTCAAAAACAGTGAATTTTTACAAGAATGAGCGATAAGCAGAAGCATTGCGATGAGGAATGAGTGTGCTGTAACAACCGTGGGTACATTCGAGGAGATTGAGGCAAGGGGAAGCAAAAACAAAACAAAACAAAACAAAAAACAGTGTATGTAAGTAAGTTGTTTTGAGTTAAAGAGAACAATGGTTAAAAGAGTTTATTTCAAGAATCAACATTAGTTTGTTATTTGAGACAATGTATCAGGCAAGTTTTCTTGCACCTCGGGCTAGCTGTTCTTGTGACTCCTGTAGCAAGGTGCACTTTGAAAAGCCTTTGGCAAAAGTTTTGCTTACAGGCATACGTGCGTAAGAGCCCTTCAGGGTATCTTGTAATACTTTTTATCATAGACATGTTTGCATGAGGGTCCTCCTTCACAACCTCCTGGCTTTGTTTTAAAAAAAAAATTTTTTTTTGGTTAAGATTTGAAACAAATGACCACATTTTTTATTTTGACAACTTTCACATTGCATTTTGATCAAGATCTTCCTCCACAAAGTTATCACTGATAAACCATTTTGTTACTAGGTTTTGATTTTTCCTCAGTACCGGACAGACTTGTCCCAGTTGTTGGTCTGGTCCAGTGTGGAAGGGAAGTGACAAGGAACGGAATATTACTCAATTATAAGAAACAACAGTGATCTAGCAGTGCTTATATTTTTCCTGGATTGAGCTTGAGCCCTTTATCCAAAGTGAGGTGACACAAGATCGGACGAATGGGCTCCACATGGACTCGCCATCAAATTGGTACTGACTGATTAACACTATGGTGCTCACATGGTGGTGGTGTTCTCCAGGGATTAGGGGGTTGGGGGGGTAGATTCACAACTAAAGGACAGGGTGAGCATTGTGCAGGGGAGGAGCATGCCTCTAACCCTCACTAGGGAGAGACAAAGATATAAAATGTAACCAAAATGTTTGTACTCTAATTTCCTGAAAAAAAAAAAAAAAAAAACAAACCCTTTTAGCCACATTTTAGCAACAGGAGGTTTAGAAGCAATGGTTCAGGGTAGATCTACCCAGAGTCCACTGTTAGATTCAAGTTTGTCTGTTTTATAGATGTTGGCTAGCATCTTAAACCACTGAGCGAACATTATTCTATTAGGATATATACTTCTGTAGATTATTGGCAGGCAACAGGTACAAAGTTTAAAGGAATTGATACAAAACAGAACAGAAAGGAGTATAATAAATCCCTTTTGTATAATGGTTCTGAATCCAGAGCCCAAGCCTAAGGTTATCCAAGTAAACAAGTCAAAATAACCATGGGGAACTAGGTGCGACTGGCTGTAGCCCTGTGGCTTGTTTTCTTATTTTGTGAAACTGTAGATCTCAATTTCCACATAGGAGTTTATCTAAGTACAGCATGTTGTATTACTGATGGCATAGACATTTGTTATTTATCCAGTAGATGATCCAGAGCTATTTTATCATCTAGCATCCCATGACTGGGTTGAGTTAAAGCAGAGAGTGAGCAACATTTGTGTTAGGGATGCTGTTAAAGTCACATACTGAGTCGATCAAGGAGCTTTTTTAACTGATGTGTAGACCTAGGCTTGGCATGACAGCTTTAACATTTTGACAAGGTACTCACAGAAGCTACTGATTGTGAAATTCTAACTATACCGTTACTCTGCCAGGTGAAAAATTAACCACAAGCAAGGAAAAATTAAGAGAGGGAGACTCTCATTATGACAAGGAGTCTGGTTCTGGTTTTTTGGGAAAAGCTGTCCACACCATGAATTTGGCAACTTTTTATTCTGGTTTACACTTTGAATGTCCCTGGTTATGGCATTGGGCATTTTGGTGAACTCTATGAGTGGCCCACACCTCAGTCACAAATCTTAAGAACTGAACAAGTGCACAGTGTTATACTCTGGTTTTTGTTTAGAAACATTTTTTCTCCCTGTAGTCATCTAGAATTCTACCAGTGATAACCAGAGCAAGACTGATTTCTTTGCAATATAAGTTTATTTGTTTCAAATTTGATTTCTTTACCTAAGTGCATAAAGAATAGTGTTTGACCACATAGGGATCTCAGATTTTAAAATTTCTTGAGGCTAGAAAGCCAAACAAAGGCAGATTTCAGACTTTGTCTGCAGTACCTATAAATAGTTTAATATATGGCATCCTCATCAGAGATTGGTAGTATAGCCACTGTTTCTAACTGTATCTTACTACAAAGAGAGCAGACTCTTATTGAACATATTCAAAAAACTATTGACCACAAATAACAATTTGCATAAGTAGCTTTCTAAATTTTGGTCTGAACAGGCAAAATAAATAAAGTCAGTCCTCCACATTCATGGGTGGGTTCCACATCTATATGTTTAACTAACTTTGGATAAAAAATATAGAGGAAAAAAGTAGATGGTTGTATCTGTACTGAATATGTATATGCTTTTAAAATTTTCATTATTCCCTAAGGGAATATTGTCTGACAACTATTTACCTAGCATCGACATTGTATAAGGTATTATAAGTATATAGACATGATTTAAAGTATACAAGAAGGTGTGTATTGGTTACTTGCAAATAATATACCATTTTATGTAAAAGACTTGAGCATCAATGGACTCTGAAGGAACCAATTACCCACAGATATTGAGGGGAAACTGTGCCTTAATTCTGCTTACTAAATTATTGTAATTAAGCTACTATAGGTAGCTTAAAAGAGAAAAATGGTTTTCTTAAAATCCGGAAAACAAAATATTATAATAATAAACGAGCTATGTTTCCAATGAAAGTCGTGAACACCCATAATTCTTCTTTTATCAGCTAATTTAGCCTTATGTAATTAATGCTTATTTTACTTTATCTTGGATAGTAGTTCCATGATTCCATCATTTTATATATTAGGGTTCTGGACATTTTAACTTAGTCCACTGATCTAAAAGTTATCAGCAACCTGTATCCAAGAGTACTTGTCAGGGTCTTTTCCCTTAGAAGAACTTTGGACTGTAGCACATTACAAATACTTTTAGAGAAGTATTAAGAACTATAGATATCAAAACCTTAGAATAGCTGTATCTATAAATTTGATAAGAGTTCATCATAATAGTGATAGAATTGACAAGAAACTTTATTTCTATTACATACAGCATTTTAAAGTAGCAACTAGGATAATGACTGATGACGTCATACCAGGATCATCAGACTTCTATAAATTAGGACTCTACCACCAACAACATATCTACATGAATATAATTTAAAGAAGATTAACCATCATTTATTTTTAAACATTTGTCAATTATTCCCATATAATTTAACATATCAAACAAGTTTAATTATTTTAATATCTCTCTTTTACAAGGTAAAAAATACATCCTTTAGGGTTTCTAAGTCCTCACCTGGGAAATTCCTAAAGTTAGTTTGAGGTCAAAAGACTTAATTTAGAATTTGATTTTAAAGAATTTTGCCAGAGATTTCAAAAAGCTTATAACACTTAAGGTTAGGAAGACTCTCTGATGCGTCTGGGTTGTAGCTAGGCTTTTTCTTTTCTTTTGTTCTTTTTTTTTTTTTAAGTATCTAGAAAAAAGGACATGCACCCTCCAGTCTGATTTTTAGCTCCTCGTCCTAGCGCTCGGTTCTTACTGGGTTTGTGTGTTTTCAATGCCAGAAGACGAGTGGAACAAAACTCTCCGGGTCCATCCATCACCTTGGGTGGTTTTAATTTTTCCTTTTTCTTGTTAATTTTCTTTTTATTTTAAACTACCCATCTGCACCATGAACAGATTGTGCATCGGAAACCTCAGCGAGAACGCTGCCCTCTCGGACCTAGAAAGTGTCTTCAAGGGCGCCAAAACTCCAGGTCGGGACCCTTCCTGGTGGAGAGGTCCGCCTGTTTATCCCGGCCCTGCCCCTTGGGGCGTCACGGGCTAGCAGGGCCCTGTCCGTCGAGGCCACCATGGGCAAGCAGGGCCCTGCCCGTAGGGGCGTCATGGGCAAGCACGGCCCTGCCCATCAGGTAGTCATGTGCAAGCAGGGCCCTGCCCATCGGGGCCACCATGGGCAAGCAGGGCACTGCCCGTTGGGGCCACCATGGGCAAGCACGGCCCTGCTCGTCGGGGCCGTCATGTGCAAGCAGGGCGCTGCCTGTCGGGGCCACCATGGGCAAGCAGCACCCTGCCCGTCAGGGCCACCATGGGCAAGCAGGGCCCTGCCCATTGAGGTGTCACGGACAAGAAGGGCCTTGCCCATCAGGCCATCATGGGCAAGCAGGGCCCTGCCTGTCGGGGCCGTCATGGGCAAGCAGGGCCCTGCCCATCGAGGTGTCACGGGCAAGCAGGGCCGGCACGTGGAACAGCGCTCTCGCTTTGCAGGGGCGTCGGTCAGTATTGCCCCAGCAGAAGTGCCAGGTGCAAAAGTGAGGATGGTGATCATCACCGGACCGCCAGAGGCTCAGTTCAAGGCTCAGGGAAGAATTTATGGGAAAATTAAAGAAGAAGAGCTTGTTAGTCCTAAAAAGAAGTGGAACTTGAAGCTCACATCAGAGCACCGTCCTTTGCTGCTGGCAGAGTTATGGGAACAGGAGGCAGAACGATGAATGTTTGTCAGGCGCAGAAGCTGTTGTCCCTGGAGACCAGACGCCTGATGAGAATGGCCAAGGGGCTGTCAAAATAACTGGTCACTTCCATGCTTGCCAGGTTGCCCAGGGAAAAATTCAGGAAATTCTGACTCAGATAAGGCAGCACCAACAGCAGGAGGCTCTGCAAAGTGGACCACCCCAGCCAAGGTGGAAGTAGAAGCTCAGGAAACAGCCCTCCACAGAGGCAGATGCCAAACCAAGCAGAGATTGCTTAACCAACAGACGGGCGCTCACCCCTATCCAGAATCACATGTGCAAGTTTTTGCCTAGCCAGTTGTTCCTAAGGACCAGGCAACTTTGAACTCCTGTCTCTGTGAGAATGTATACTTTATGCTCTCTAAAATGTATGACACCCAGCTTTAAATAAAGGGGGGGGAGGGGAGGGAAAGAGAGGAGCGCTCTGCACTTCCCTTTGTAGTCTCCCAACATAACAAATATTTTAATTTCTCTTACTATTCCCCCATAATGCAAGAAATTAGCTTAATGACACATTCAGTAAATTCCTCAGATATAAATAGATTTCTCCTAAATCCAATTGGTAAAATTGGATCACAATAATGATCACAGGAACTTAAATGTTAAGCCATAAGCATAGAAAAACTGTTCTCAGTTTTATTTTTATCTAACACTTTATTTTTCCCCCAAGAGAAGTGCTGAATGATGTCGGCAGGGGTATTAAACGTGGATCTGTACTCAACTACCTCAGGTATTCAGTAATACAATGAAAAGCAAAATTGTTCCTTTTTTTGAAAATTTTATATACTTTATAAAGATGAAAGTCCAACTGTTTTTTAAAGAATAATTTAAAATTTAGCACCTATCAGCTAACAGGCAAATAACTGAGAAAGAAGTTTACTTCTGGCGGCTGACACTTAAGCTAGAAAATTAATTTCAGGTTTTTTGAGGCTTTCAACACCGTTATTAGTTGAAAGATCCAATCAATGTCCAAGGATATGGAGCAGTGCCTATATTTGGAAAGCAGCGATACCATTTATTCTTTCATTTATAGTTGGGAAAGTTTTCAATGGCGCTAACAGAGCAAAGTGGTGGCAGGAGGATTTCGAACAGCTGGTTTAAATGGCTTTAGGAGATTTCGGGGTTTTTGTTTAGCTACATGACTGAGTGCATAAATGCTTTGTGCTTTTGACTATCACTACCCCAAGAAAGTGCATCAGTGAAGAGATGCAAGACTTTAAACAGATTGGGAAAAAGCAAGATTCAGCTTGTCTTACAGGATGCTTAGTTTGCCAATACACTTCAGACCAGATGGTCTCCACTTAGAGCAGACTCCGAAAGCAACTGCTTTGTGAAGACCAACGGGACAGTCAGAGAGGGTATGACAGTGTTTGAAGGCAACAAAGGGCTGCATCTTCACATGCCCAGCACTGACATGAGCCTCACTAGGCTATTTTGAAGATTTTTAAGCAATGATAAAGGGAAGTCCACCCAAAATATTACATAAAATGTAGTAGGATTTCTGTGTACTCTGCAACCAGTTATTTGCAAGTAAGTCAAAAAGTAGAGGATACATGAAAACAGTTTTTGGAATATAATTTCAATGACTGTGAAAACATCTGACCTTTGAGACTGAACTTGTTTGTCCATTCCTTAACTTGATGGCAAAGCCCCGTTATGTACAATTGTGTGGGTGTGGGTGGTCTCCAAGGCCATGCTGCTCTCTGAATTGTTTTTGTGTTGCATTTGTTAGTAGGATGGTCACAGTCATTAACACTGATCTGAAGGGCATATATAATAACTCTTAAATTAGTTCACCTCTTTCATATTTCAAGATGAATTTCTACACATACTAGATAAATTTTTATGAAGATCACATCATTTAGGCATTTTGGAAATTATTTGAAATTTTTTCCGAAAACCAGCTTATTTTGTAGTTTTATCATTTTTGTCACTGGATTTGCTTAGCAGTCATAATTTTTTTCCATACAATGAATTGCTAAAAAACATCACAGACTGGCTTTCTGGTTGGAATTCAGGTGAGATGTGTTTTAAGGCCAGAGTTCTTCCTCAATATTTGATTTTTTCCAATATTTGATTTTTTTAAAAACAAAGGTGCTGCATTTAAATCTGCTGGTTTCAATGCTGTCATTTCACTTCAGGCCTTTTAGTGTGGAAAATCATTTTACTTTTACTTAAGCATTGGTAATTTGGTACTAGCTAAGGAATAATTCTATAATTGAGTTCTGTACTCATCATATATGGATCATTCCCCCCTCTGTAATGTGCCCCAAATGCAGCTTCATTTCCCAATACCTTGATGCAGAATAAAGTTTTTCATTAAAAGAAAAAAGCTTATAACACTTAATTATAACAGAATCACAGGTCATTATAAAATAATGCCGTTCACATAGCCAGAGCAACAATTAAAACATTTAAAAAGTGAGTACAGAGGCACATAGTTAAAAAGAAAAAACGCCTTACACATTTAACAGAAACGACTCAATTTTCCCCCATAATCAAATACATTGATAAAGACAACTTGAAAGCATAAGAAATTATCTTGATAAGATAATACGTAGGCCAGGTACCTAAAGGTAGAGAGAAACTTTTCACAATTTATTAAAAGCAGAGGCTAATACTACCAAAGAAGTTGGTTGTTTTATGAACTAAAATAAAATCATAAGACTTTCCCACCTGCTCCCCACTGCCACCGGCTGACTGAGTGGACCCCCTCCAGGCCAAGGGGATATCCTAAAACTAAATTGCCTGCCACCAGGAGGGAGGTCAGACATGCCTCATCATGCCCCCTCCCTTCTTGGAGATATCCTTTGTAATTCATTCACAGGTCTAAGGCTATGCAACTAACCTGCAGGTCCTAGATTTACACAACAAATATATGTCCTGGTGCCTTGTCTCTGATTAACAGACCTCCTTATCTTAAAACATCCCAAGCCTTTAGACAAGGCTTCTTGTCTTTAACCAATTGAAAGTCAAAGAATCTTTAATCCCACCCATAACCTTTGTTAGCCCCCACTTCAAGATGGCCCACCTTTTCAGACCGAACCAATGCATGTCTCCCATGCATGGATTTATGACTTTACCTGTAACCCCTATCTCCCTGCAATGTATAAAACCAAATTGTAACCCAGCCACAGCGAGTCCACTAGCTCAAGGCTTCTTGGGTGTGGCTCGAGGTCATGGTCCTCAAATTTGGCTCAGAATAAACCTCTTTAAATTATTTTACAGAGTTTGGCTTCTTTTCCTTTGACAAGATTGGTGCCAAGACATAGAGCTCAGAGAAGACGCAGGACCCCTGAAGGAGTAGCCTGAACTCGGTGCCAGCTACCGGCCCAACCCTTTTGGGCCCTCCGACTCTGAGCTTCTCCTTTGTCGGGAACTGATAAGTCCTCCTGAGCTCTGGATCTCCCGTTTTTGTTTGATGGTTGGTTTACTCTCAGCTGGTTCTTTTCCTAGAAATTGTTATTTGGGATCCTAACTGAGATTTGGAGGTACATTCTGAAGTGTCTTCTCCGTCGCATTTTCATAATAAAATTAATCTCAATTGGCTTTTCTGTGCATTTGTGAAAGAGGAACCCAAACTGTCTTGTTTGTAGATAAGTGAGAGATTGAGTTCCTCAGCTCCGAAGAGAAAGGGGCATTTTTCTCTTCCCAGGTGAAAGGCACCCCTGGGTAACTAGGGTCCTCAGTGGGAGTTGCCTGGGGTGATTCATTGAGGTGTAAGTGGCCAAACAGAGAAAGCCTCCAACAAATTAATTAAAAGAAGGCTCATACAGGAGACATAGGTATGAGCTAATCACTCCACATTTTGAGCTTTCTTGGAAATACTAGACCCCCAAAAGAGAAGCTGAGACGTGTAAGAGGGTGGGACCGACTCACTGGTCAAACATTGAGGAGCCCCTACCCACAATCAGCAGTCTCTCATCCATGACACAAAACCCTGGACTACAATTCGGTTGCTGCTTTTAAAGAAAAATGGAGAACTTGTTTGGAGGTTCTAGCAGGGGAGCGCAGCTACTCATATACCCTTGACCGAGGACCGGTCCTCCTCTAGCGGGGAAGGTCGTCCTCTTTGATCGAGCGCACAGCTTTGGGAGGGAGGCACGTGGAGCAGTGAGGGAGGAAGGGGACACCCGCCCAGCCAGCCAGATCAGCGGAATCAACCCTGGCGATCAGTGGGGTGACAGATGTGGCAGCCAGATCGCCCTCACATCCAAATGGAGGGGAAAAAAGTCCTTTAAAAATGAGGAAAGACAAGGAGTATGACCCCCTAAAGGTCTTCAGTTGGTTTATGCACCTCTACTTGCAAGTATTTGCATAAACAGGAAAGGTTCAAATGTATTTTCACACAATATGGCCAGGCACCTGTGTTACCTCCAGAGTTCTGTATATATCAGTTTGCACACACATTTCAAACACCATTCTTTAAAGCAGTTGTTACCACATTGAACAAAATTAAAAGACATACCACAGAAAAGATGGCCATAGTATATACCTCCTCTATCATAGAAAGGTGTTAAACAAACGTGTATTTTTGTAGCTATTCTTGGAAATATTTAACACACTTATTAGCACTTGCTCATGCAGTGGATTAAACATGACAGGTATAAACTGCTGCATCTGGTAAGTGAACATTGATTCCCAAGTGAAGACTATAGTACGGTGCACACAGCTTACTTTGGGCTCCACCATACAAAAGATGAAGCCAGTTCTGATGTGGGTTTTGGCTAGTGTTTGAATGTAGCTGTGAATGGAAACCCTTTGCATATGGAGTTCAGTCCTAGCTATATTGGGTTAAAAATGGACTCAGACATAAACTTTGCAAACTGGCTAATTCAAGAACTCTCTTACAGTCAGGGCAATGATCAGCTTTTATATTATGTAGTCAGTCTTATAAATAGTGAAAAATGAATAGTTTACCCTCTTTTTCTGTCCAAGAAGGCCATAATTTATGATTTTTATGATCTACTTCTCATTAATCATCTCATCTAATTCTTTTATAATACTATACATAAACACAAACATTCAGGTGTGACACAAGTATAGTGAATGCTACAAATTCATGCCACAAGTATATGCTTTTAAATTTGTGTTGGCAGGGGAATGAACAAAATTAAGATTCATGGTAAAGAAAGCTTTAGATGATGCAATATTCATTGCATTCAAAGAACTCTGGTGTCCTTAAAGTATGATTCTGATAATTTATCTGGCTGTTACTCATTGGTGCAGTAGGAGTTTTGAGTTGGCATGACTTTTTACTCCCAAACCATTTGTGATTTTGTGAACACATTTCCATGCATGATGCAACATTTTGGCCACCCTTCCCGTTCCTGCTTTTTCATTCTTATTCCTCAGTTTTTCATTAGGACTCTGAGGCTGCAGCACTTCCAGAGCATTGTAAGGCTGATCAGCTAGGCTCTCTCCTTTGCCATTGTCTTCAGTTTGGTAGCTTTCTCAGTTCATTTCATCCACCAGCGGCCTTCCATTTTATTTCATAATCCCAGAGAGTTTTAAAATCTCTCATCTTCATATTACATCTTTTTGACTATCATTTACTCTCATTTATTAGAAAATATGGGCTTTCTGTGTATGCCAACTCTGTGGATTTGAATGGGGATACTTCTGTGTCTTCAGTGTTAATTAATAATATACTTTATTCTCATTTGTTATGGTACTTTGATTTTTTTCCTGCTGATTTTCTTGAATTCTATATAGGTTCTAGTTATCAGCCCTTTATCGGATATGTAGCATGCGAATATTTTCTCCCATTCTGTAGGTTCTCTATTTGCTCTCATAATAGTTTTTTTGGCTTTGCAGAAGCTTTTTAATTTGATCAGGTTCCATTTATTTATTTTTGTTGTTGCTGTGATTGACTTTGGGGTCTTCTTCATAAATTATTTGCCTAGGCCAATGTATATAAGAGTTTTTCCAATATTTTCTTCTAGAATTATTATAGTTTCACGCCCTAGGTTTAAGTCTGTTAACCACCATTAGTTGATTTTGGTGAAAGGTGAAAGGTGCAGATCCTGTTCCAGTCTTCTATGTGTGGTTATCCAGTTTTCCCACCACCATTTATTGAATAAGGATTATTTTCCCCAGTGTATGTTTTTGTCTGCTTTGTCAAAGATTAGATAGCTATATGACTTTAAACTATACTACAAGACTATAGTAACTAAAACAGCATAGCACTGGCACAAGAACAGGGACATACCCCAGTGGAACAGAACTGAGAACTCATGAGTAAAGCAGTTCTTGCTTTGAAAAATTGCTATGTCAATAACTCATGACATGACTTTAAAATTGTAAGCTAAAGAAAAAAAAAAAATTCAGACAACTGACTTGTTTGGAAAAAAAAAGAAAAATAAATAAATAAAATTGTAAGCTTAACTATTCTCAAATACAAAATACATAAAATAGGCAAATACAAAATACATAAAATACATAAAAATATCTCCTCAGGGTATATGGGAATATATAATATAAAATGCATAAAAAGTGCTAAGATGGGTCCTAGAAATTACAAATTGTTAATACAATTTAGCTATTTTTTGCTGCACCAATTTGTAACAAAAAAAGTATAGCTCTGCTCTCTTAAAAGAAAAAATAGTATCTCATTCGCAACATTTCACATTTTATTGAGTAATAACATACTATTTTGATTTTGACTCCATGTTTTTATTAAAAATAAAGAGATGTTATGAAAGTCAGATTCATCTGTTGTGTTTATTCCATAAAAGTATGTGTGCATAAATTTTTTACAAATTTTATTCCTCATCTTTTGACTTTGCATTTTGCTTTTGTTGTTTTTTAACTTATTATTTTAACTTATATATTTTTATTTATTTTATTTTTATATATATTTTATATTTTTATATATTTTATTTTATTTATTTTAACTTATTATTTTAACTTAATATTTTAGGGTTGTATTGGGCGCTCATGTCGAGAAGTTTTACATTTAAGGAATTGGACACTGTGTGATGCAAATAACCATTGCCAAGGACATGGGGTAAGTAACTGTTACTCTCTTCTTAAGTATAAATGTTTTAATCCACATCAATGACATTTTCCATAGTAATAAAGTTCACAATTATTTGTTGTGAAAATTTCATTTGGAAAATTGCCATTAAATGAGGAGAGTAGATTTCATCATTTATACATGTACATTATTTATGTTTATAATCAATCAGATTGCTAGAGTTTTCATGAGCAAATAACTATGAACTTTATACAAATATGCAATGTGAAACATTATTATAATGTTTGATTAAGATTGTGAAATTTTGGAAATGAGTTTATTAAGGATTATACATATACATTTATACATACATGTTTATATTATTTATAATTTTACGTATAAATTTATAAACATTCACAAACTATTAAACACATTGCTTTTAATCTAATATTTTTCTGGGATCAAAGTTTTCTATACATTCAGATCTGTTTCATCCTTCAAAGGCTTCAATTTATGTCCCCATACAGTACAAATACAATATTTGAAATGTCATTTATTGGATGGCCTTTCAAATAATGTTAGATTTTAACTATTGTGAATAGTGGTAAAGTAGACATTGCTGTAAATTCACCTTTGCACACTTATCTGATTTCTTAAATAATTAGCAATGTAATCTGATTGGACCAAATATTTGCACTATTTGAATTTTCATAAGCATTATATTGGCTTCAAGAAACATTATGCCATTTTGTTCTCCCATCAATCATGTACAAAAGTGTATTTCCTTATATTCTAGCCAGACTAGTTTATTAGTCTTTTTATTCTCTTCTAACATGCTGAATCCATTAGGAATTTGATTTTATTTGATAATTTTTAACAGTTTTTGACAGTTTTTAAGTATATATGGTCATATTTTTCATTGGCATTTCTATTTGTCTATCCATTATAAATTTACCTACTAGGTTATAGAAATTTTGTTAACTTTGTAGATTTTTCCAAGCATGCTTTTTGCTTTAACTTTGTGGCCAATGTTTTCTACCATTCTGATGATTCTTATTTTATGTTGTAATTTCGATAAAAAGCGACATGTCTCTGTGTCTTCAAACAGTTTTTTCTCCCAATATGTCCTATTATTTGCAATATATTTTTATTTCTTTTCTTTCTTATTTACTTTTAATGTACTTTCTTATTTATGTATGAACTTATTTCTGAATTCTCTACTAGCCCTTTCCTAGTCATTTGCCACATCACAATTATGCAAATTTTCTCACCTTCCACATACATTTTGCTATGTGAATCTCATTAAGCAAACTTCTAACTTTTGGCTTTTTTCTCATTTTCATAAAAGTTTGGCTATTATCACAGCTATATTTTTAAATCTAGCACAATTATCATTCTATATTTTATTATCATTCTATATTTTAGAATAATAATATCATTCTAAATTATCATTCTATATTTTAGCTTCATAATCTCTATGCTTTCTATTAGAAGACATTTGAATTTAATCAAGGATGTTATTTACCTTTATTTGGAAATAAAAGAGACAAATAAGACAATGTCTCTATGATATTTAAAAATATATTACATGGACATTTATTGTACTACTTTTTATGTTGAAAATTATTTCCACATTAAATTAAAAACTCATTATACTAAATTATAATGTTTTAATAATTTACATTGACTAACAATCAAAATAATGCATTTAATTTTTATGTTGTATATAAAATGTTCTTATTTCATTTTGTTTTGGTTTTAGATTTGCAACGATGTCCTTAATTGTCATTGTGATGCTGGATATTTTCCCCCAAAGTGTGATTTAGACCCACAATCACCAGGAGGAAGCATAGATGATGGGAATTGGTCTCCAGGAGGTTAGTCTTTAGAACAGTGTGTTCCAATAAAGTTCTCTGCCTTCATAGAGATGGTCTATATCCCCACTGTCCCATGTAGTTATTGAACACCTGACGTGTGGATAGTGCAATGAAAGAATTGAAATTTCAACTTTATTTTACTTTATTTAATTTAAATTTAAATAGCCATTGTGGTTGGTGACTGCCATACTTCCAACCAAAATTGTGTGTCTTTTAATTCTAATCAAGAAGTGAAAAGCTTAAAGCTTCCTCTCTTAATTTTAACCATGGTTTCCAGAATATTTCTTTTTATAACTCAGAGTTTTGTACATAGGCATAGTTAACTTATAGAAAAGGTGATAGTTTTACTATGTAATCTGTCTATGGCAAGGACATTGCCTATTATGATGTGCTGTATAGTTCACAGCCAAATGGAATCTCTGAATTTAACTGTAATATCAAAAGGGAAAAACAATTAAATCTTCCACACCCACAGTATATTAATGGTATGTGGAACTATTTTTAAATTTATTTGGTGAAAAGTCATGAGCAAATATAAAATATTTGCATTTTCTAAACATAATTTTTATAGTTAGAACTATATATCTGAATAAATACTTGAGATATGGATTTGTATGTCAAATATACTGAGGCAACAATTATATTTCTAATTAACTGTAGATGTATGAATAAATTAATACAGCAGCTTGAGACACAGGAGCTAAAGGCTTGAAGGTTAAGAACAAAATATATCTCAGAAAGTTTGTTGGAATATGTTTCCTTGCTCCCACAATTTAGAATTTTGGGTATTTTGATAGTAGATGTTACTGAAAAAAGTAAAGTTTCAGTTAGTTTAAGTTGAAACAAATATATACATACATAAATTAAAAGAAGGGTAATTTAACCTTCACTCATTTGGGCAGTGTCCAATTTTAAGCTATTCTACATAAGTCAGTGATGATATTCATGTAGAAGATTCTGTATGAAAGTAAAATTTTACTTCTCTGGGATATATACCCAAGAGTGAAATTGCTGGGACATATTGCAAGCTATATATAGTTTTAAAAGCAAGAGTCAAACTATTTTCAGGTGGCTATACTATTTGACACTCTCAAAAATAATATAGGAATAACCGACGTGTTTGCACATTCACCAACAATTCATGGTAACACTATTTTTAAATTTTGCCATTCTATTAGCTATATTAATATCTCATTGTAGTTTTAATTTGCACTTCATCAGGGATGATGATTTTGAGTACCTTTAATGTGACTATTTGGCTATATATCCTATTCAGTGAAAGTGTCATTTAAATATACAGTTTGGAGAGATTTTATGTATTATTGATACATGTGTGTTGTTGGATGTGTGATTTGCATATATTTTGTCCAAGTCTGTAGTTTTTTTTTTTTTTTCTCAGAACAAAATTTCTCTTTTTATAAAATTTATTTATTTATTTTATTTCAAATTATTACAGGGGTACAAATGTTTCTGGTTCTGTGTATCAAATTTATTATGCTGAGTCAGGATTGTAAGTGTGCCCATCACCAAGATAATGTTCATTGTACCTGTTAGGTAGATTTTTGCCCACCCCCTCTAACCACCTTTCCCCTGCTTGATTTCCACTGAGTTTTTCTTCCCTCTGTGCACATGTGTGTTCATCTGTCAGTTTCAATTTAATAGAAAGTGCATGTAGTGTTTGTTTTTCTATTCAGTAGTTACTTTCCTTAGGATAATGGTCTCCAATTCCATCCAACTTTTTGCAAAAGGTCTTAATCCATGTTTCTTCATGGTCACCTGGTATTCCATGGTATACAAAGACCAGATTTTGTTGATCCATGCATGAATTGAGGGGCATCTTGGTTGATTGTGATCTTGGTTGATCTTTACAATTGTGAATTATCCTTCAATAAACATTAACATGCATGAGAAAAGGACTTCGCTTCCTTTGGGTTAATATGAAGTAGTGAGATCACTGAATCATCTGGTAGGTCTACTTTCAGTTCGTTGGTGAATCTCTACACCATTTTCCATAGAAGTTATGCTAATTTGCAATTCCACCAACAGTGTATGAGCCTTCCTTTCTCTGTGCATCCATGCCAGCATCTATTGTTTGGGGACTTTTTGATAAAAACCATTCTGCCTGGGGTAAGGTAATAATTCATTATAATTTTTATTTGCATTTCCCTGGTGACTAGTGACTTTGAGCATTTTTTCATGTTTATTGGCCATTTGTCTAACTTCTCTTGAAAAGCTTCTGTTCATGTCTTTTGCTCATTTTTTAATGAGGTTGTTTGATTTTTTCTTGCTGATTTGCTTGAATTCTTTGTAAATTCTTGTTATCAGTCCTTCATTGGAGGCATAGCTTGTGAATATTTTCTCCCATTATGCAGATTGTCTATTTGCTCTGTTAATTATTTCTTTGGCTGTGCAGCAGCTTTTTGTTTAGAAATACCCATCTAATTTACAGTTGGTTGTTGCTGTGATTGCCATTGGCTCTTTGTTGTAAATCATTGCCTAGGCCAATATCTAGAAGAAGACTTTTTCCACATTTTCCCCAGAATTTTTATGGTTCATGCCTTATTTTAAGTCTTTATCCATGTTGAGTTAAGTTTTATGAGTCGGGAAGATAGGTCCTATTTTATTCTTCTGCAGTGGCTACCCAATTTTCCCAGCACCATTTATTGAATAGGTTTTCTTTTCCCTAGGGTATATTATTGTCTGCTTTGTCAAAGATCAGTTGGCTATATAGGTAGATGGTTTTTATCTGGGTTCTCAGTTCTTCCTGTTGGTCTATGTTCTCTATTTTGTCTAGCACCTTGCTCTCGTTACTATAGCCTTGCAGTAGAGTTAAAGTTTGGAAAGGTGATGCCTGATTTGTTCCTTTTGCTTAAGGTTGCTTTGTTATCTGGGTCTTTTCAGGTTCCAAACAAACTGTAATTTGGAAATAATTTGGAATTATTTTTTCTAGATCTGTGAAAAATGATGTTGGTATTTTGATGGAGATTGGGAGATCTGTAAGTCATTGGATGGTATAATTTAACATGCTGTTTTACTGATCCATGAGCATGATATATTATTCCATGTTGTGTCATCTGATTCTGTCAGGGTTCATAGTTCTCTTTAAGATCTTTCTCCTGTTAAATATATCCTAGTTGTTTATTTCTTTGTAGCTATTGTGAATGGCATTGAGTCTTTTCTTTGACTCTAGGCTTGACTATTACTGGTATATAGGAATGCTATTGACTTGTGTACATTGATTCTGTAACTGAGGCATTGCTGAATTTATTATCAATTCCATGAGTCTCTTGGAGTTGTCTTTGTGGTTTTCTGGATATAAGATCATGTTGTCAGCAAAAAAGCTACAGTTTGACCTTCTTTTCCCCTCTTTGGACACCCTTTATTTCTTTTTCTTGTCTGATTGCTCAGGCTAGAACGTTCAGCATTATGTTGAATCAAGGTGGTGACAGTGGGTACCCTTGTCTTGTTCCAGTTCTTAGTGGAAATGCTTTGAACTTTTCCCATTCAATATGATGTTGGCTGTGGGATTGTAATACATGACTTTTATAATTTCAGGATATGTTCCTTCTATGCTTAGTTTTCTGAAGGGTTTTTTATCATGAAATGGTGCTGAATTTTGACAAATCATTTTTCTTCATCTATTGAGATAATCATCTGGTCTTTGTTTTCACTTATTCTTATGTGGAGAAACACATTTATTGATTTATGTATGTTGAACCATCCTTGTATCACTGTGATGAAGCCCACTTGGTCATGGTGGATTATTACTTTTTTATGTGCTTTTGAATTCAATTTGATAGTAATATTCTAGGATTTAAATGTACTGGCTGTTGTTTTCTATTTCTTGTGTCCTACCTTGTTTTGAGTCAATGTTATTGGTTTAAGAATAATTTAGGGCATTCCCTCCTTCTCATGTTATGCAATAATTTCTGCAGTATGTGTACCAGCTGTTTTTTGGAAGTCTGGTAAAATTCAGCCCTGAATCCATCTGATCTGGGACTTTTCTTTGTTGGAAGATTTTTTATTACTGCTTCAGTCTCACTGATTGTTATTAATCTGTTCAGGAATTCTATTTATTACTCATTGTCTTGGGAGATGGTATGTTTCCAGGAATTTCTCTGTTTCCTTATTTTTTCTAATTTATATGTGTAGAAATTTTCATAGTATTTATAGATTATATTTTCTTTTTCTGTTGTATCAGGTGTAATACCTTATATTTAATTTCTGAATGAGCTCATGTGGGTCCTTTCTTTTCTATTGCTGCCTAATCTAGGAAGAGGTTGATCCATTTTGTTTATATTTTCAATGAACCAACTATTTGTTTCATTGACACCTTGTATTATTTTTGTTTAGTTCTGCTCTGACCTTAGTTATTTCTTTTCTTCTGCTGGCTTTCAGTTGGTTTTGCTCTTCCTTTTCTAGTTCCTTGAAATGTGTCATTACGTTGTTAAAATGTGACCTTGCTGTCTTTTTGATATAGGTCTTTAAGGCTATGAATTTTCCCCTTAGGACTGCTTTTACTGCATTCTACAGTTTTGATAGCTTCTATCCCCTTCGTTATTCAGTTAGAGGAATCTTTTGAGTTCCATATTAATTTAATTATTCATGCAATAATCATCCAGAAGCAGGTCAGTGATTTTGTGTAGAATTGAATGTTTCTCTTTTCGTTCATTTCTGGTTTTATTCCACTATGGTCTGAGACGATACATAGTATCATTTCTATTTTCTTGAATTTCTGAAAGATGTTTTGTAGCCTAAAATATGGTCAACCTTGGAGAATGTTCTATGTTCTGATAAGAACAATATATTCAGCTGTTTATGGATAAAATATTCTGTGTCTATTAGGCCTATTTATTCTAGAGTCACGTTTAAGTCCAATGTTACTTTTCTTTTCTTTTTCTTTTTTTATTTCTGAGTATTATGAGAGTACAAACATTTTGGTTACATTTTATGTCTTTGCCTCACCCAAGCAAGGGTTAGAGGCATGCCCCTCCCCTCTA